GAGATAACTTTAAAAGGATAGGACACCCTTTATTTTTCGCATATCGGCCAGAATTCCTAATATTGTGGTCCCACAAAAAGTATGTCACATCACACATATCTTACGAGACTTTTACATTATCATATATAAGAGCCTTAAAAACTCACCGGACTGTGGGAAACTGAGTGAATCTCGCGGTTTCCGGCTAATTCAACACTACCTCTGCACTCAAAAACACTGCACATACACATTTAATACATTCTGCGATCAGAATAAGGGGCGCTGTTTATCATTTGCGAAACTTTTCGTGCAGTGATGCCTCCCTCCGGGAGGCAGGTTGGCTGCATCGAAGTTGTATTCCAAGATCCCAGTCAAACATGGACCATACCCTCGTAATGAGAGTAAATAAGTAGAAAAAAACTAGGGGATTGGCCGGGTGAAACCTTCCTAGCTACCTCTCCTTCCCCAACCGATCTAGGGGTACCCCACACCCACAGTAAGCACATCTCGGAAGTGCTCTTGGCCACCCTTTGCAACAGCATTACTACGGACTAAGCTTGAACACGCTGCAACATCAGTATCTACATGTAGTCTTGGTAGGCAACAGCATGCTTGAATACTGTGCTACTGTAAAGTTGTAATATAGTAGTACATGTAAGCTTAGTGTGTTCCTGCGGCTATGTAGATCAGTTTCTTTGGATTGGGTTGCAAACAGACAACAACACCGAATCTCATAGTGGAGCATTTTGCTCAACTTTGAATAGAGTACATGTACGGTACATGGTGTACGTGTACTGCAAGAATGAAGATGCAGGTAGAGGACTCTACTATTGAGCAAAACGGCGTACCCTGTACGCCGCGCTGGGAACTTCACCGAGATGAGATCGGCACCCTTTTCCTCGTTTACTGATATAAGTACTTTGGCATAGTGCGAGAGTAAACATGGTCCACGTTTCATGGGAAATGGAGCAGATCACATGCTATTATAATGGGCACCACAACTCCACAACATTTTCTGAACTTCAAGTGG